ATGGTTTGTGTTGGAAGGGACCTTAAAGCCCATCCAGTTCCACCCCCTGCCATGGGCAGGGACACCTTCCACTAGCCCAGTTTGCTCCAAATCCCATCCAACCTATCCTGGAACACTTCCAGGGATGGGTGACCAACAGCTCCAACAATTATGTATTCCTTATGCTAATTTATATTTTTTTTAGTTCCAATGGACGTGGCTCAGTGTAGATATTTGCCTTTTATCAGTGGTGGGGGGCAGGAGATGCCTGAAATATTTTATTTATAAATAAAACACATTTATTTACCTACTCCTGCTTTTCTCCGCCACAGTTTGAATCTTTCCCATTTTTCTCTGGCAAGATGTGTGCCTACCTACGGATTCAATGAATTGATGTGGAATTTAATAATTTCTTACTCTTAACCTATTTTTTTTTAAGCGTTCTTCCTTTGGCTTCTCCTCAGGAACTTATTTAGGCTTTGTTTCCCTTCCCAACCTCAGCCTCCCCGAGGTGTTGCTCCCTGTCTCAGCTGACCTGTACCTGAGCACAGGATGCTCTGCTGGGTCACTCCTCCTGTTGGCATCCCCCAGGAAGGTTGGAACATTTTAATACGTGGCACCATTCCCACAGCTGTCAGGGCTGTCTGCAAGTTTATTCTCAGCACAGTGTGAAGTTTGAGCCCTGCACAAGGGCAACACTTTTCCCTGAAATTGCTAAGACATGAGTTTTATATTCCGTTTTCTCCTGAGCATAATAGAACTTGTTAGCAGGTCCTTTCCACCCCCCCTCAAATTCGAGATTGGTGTTCATTGTTCAGTGAATTTGGGGCTGATTTGCTCATGAATGTGCTTTGTTGTAACTCTGCAAAGGTTTTCTGCTTAGGCAATGGTTGCAAAGCACCACTGAAGGCCAATCATCTAAAACACATATAAATGTTTTTTCTTAACACAGAAAGCTGCCCCACAGACTGATCTAGTTCTGAGGGGCTAAGAAGAGTCCTTCTTTATCCCTGAAAAACGCAGAGCTTCCTCATGGATCCCTGTGTTCCAACCACAATCTGGTTGCACTTTCCTCCTGTAAATAGGACATGGCTCCAGTGATTTATCTGGGAGGGGTGTGCACGTGCACCCCTGTGCTTGCACATGGATATCAGCACCACATCCATGAGAATTATCTTCTGGATTTATTCTGGTGCACCCAGAACGCGTTTGGGAATGGAACTCCGTGGGGGGAATGCTGTTGGAGACTGGGAATTATCTGAAAGGATCATCTGGGATATCAAGACCTCGCGGCTCCAGAGACATCAAAAAAATCTGGTGGAGAAGTTAACCCACTTGGGGAAAATATGGAAATAATTGGCAGCAGAACAAACAGCAAAGCACTGAATAAAGAAGAGGGAAGAGGAAGTGACTGGCAGGGAAGAGCAGATGGGAGCGTTTGTAGGGAAAGTTGGTGGCATCCTGTGAGTTCCCAGGTTTTATGGCTGTGGTGCAGCAGCAGTTCTGGGCTCCCCTTCCTGTTCTGGTTTTCAGCTCTGTAAATCAGGGCTCAAATCTCTCTCTCTCCATCCTTGGAATTGTAATGCATGGGGAGACATTTCTTAGGGAGAAATCCTCCCCTAGGAGGGTGGGGAGGCCCTGGCACAGGTTGCCCAGAGAAGCTGTGGCTGCCCCTGGATCCCTGGAAGTGTCCAAGGCCAGGTTGGATGGGGCTTGGAGCAACCTGGGCTGGTGGAAGGTGTCCCTGCCCATGGCAGGGGGTGGAATGAGATGAGCTTTAAGGTCCCTTCCAACCCAAATCATCCCAGGATTCTATGATTCTTTGCTTTCCTTAAGCTCATTCCCTCTAAACCTCTTGGGATAGTTCCTTGGGCCTTGTGCTTGTGACCTCCAAAATGTCAGATTTTTCACTTTTTCACCGCAGGGAAGGGAGAAATATTTCATAAACACCTCCGTGTTTGAAGAAAAAAAGAGATTTATAGTTGTTGATGCAGAAATTCCAGGAAAAATAATTACTGAGGCAGCTGTGAAATTGTTGCATGGGAGAGACATCAGACATTTTCTTTGTGTGAAGGAAGCTGGAGCTGTGGTTTTATGAACTGTGTATCAGCCATTACCTGCTCACAGAAGGGCTCTTCAGCCTGGCTCACATGGGCAGAAAACATTCCAAGAGCAGGAGGTGGAATTAGTGGGTGCATAAAACCGGTTCTGCCAGGCTGGGGTTGATGTGGGGGGAAGGATCAGAGCATGGCAGGTTCAAACCCGGGGTATTTTTTTCATTCCAAGGGACAGCAGTTTCACTGAAGTTGCTGTTTCCCCACCAGGCAGGAGTTCTCTATGTTAAGGCATTCCAGCCACTCCGTAAGGTCCTGTGGGTGTTCCCAGTCTCCAAGGGGGATGCAAATCCAGGTGCCTGGTGGATGCAAACGCTCCGGGCTGGGCAGAGCAGCCGGAGGAACGAGCAGGACAGGACCTGCTTTTCTGATCCAGCTCCTGCTTTGCCTCTCTCCAGAGCTCCCCTGCCCGTTCCCGGTTGGTCTCCTCGCTAATTCCCAAGTTAAATATTTGTTCCTGAGTGGCTGCAGAACTGACAAGTTTCCTGGATCCTTTCCATCCCGTGTTTGGAGCTGACATCACCCTCTCCCTCAGAACTTTCCTGCTCCTCAGGGGCTGACCTCGGACACCACATGGAGTGCTGCCTTCTAGGATTCAGGGATTCACTGGCTCGTGTTCCCGGAAGGAGCCACACAGGCACAGGACTCCTTTGATTTCAGGGATTCCTCAGCCATTTGCCATTTGTTGTCCTTTAGAGTTTCAAGATAAACATGCTAAGAGTGCTTGACACATTTATTTGGATCTTGGTTCTCCTTTGCAGTTCCTGCTCCCTCTGGAATATCTTTCTGTCCCAGACATTTAAGATCTCTTTCCCTGCGTGGTTTTTTCTCTGTTTCCCCTCCCTTTTTAGTGTTCAAATGAATCTGCTGGAAGGTGCACCCCTTTAATTCCATATTTGTTCTGTCTTAATGATTTGCTCTTATGGGAACTCCTAAATCCTACTAAAACCAAGCCAACACTTTCTTTTCATTGCTTGGAATTGCCCAATTGCTCAGTTCCTCAGAGAGAATAAGTAACCAGTTCTTAAAAGGACAGAAAGGATTGGTGCTTTTGCAGGAATAACTTTAAAGCACAAATACTCATTTTTTTCATTGCTAAATCCTACTCTCCTTTTAGTTCAGGGATAATAAGGTCAGACAGGAGACACAGATTCCATGGAGAAGTTTGTCAAGTGTTTATTATGGAACCTGTGATTTCTTCTTGGCATTTGTGCAGGACAGACCTATAGAGATTAATTATCAATAATTGTGAGAGAATCTTCCTAGAGAAGCAGTTGGAGTACAGAACATTGTAGTGGTTGGAATCTGGGCTGGGAATGTTGTTTGCTGAATTTATCTGGGCAAGTTCTTCAGCTTTTCAGTGACTCAACTTCCCTGTTTTGAAGCAGAGTTACCAGCAAGACATTAAAACTGGAGGCTATTAATGAGGAAATCAAGTTACATTGCTGAAGGTATCAAAAAATCGCTCATATCCTGCTTTAATAGACCCTTTTTCTCACTTCCAATAACTTCTGAGGCCAAAAAAATGGCCTTGGTGATGACTTGAGTGGAATTGATAAAGGGCAAAGTAGTGCTTAAAGAAAATAAGAATGACAGAATGTGCTGACCCAAGGAAAACAGGAAAAATGGTCAATTCAGGATCTCTCAGGATCCTCAGGGATCTGACCAGCTGCCATTCCAGGGCCTGCTGAGGTGTTTCTACAGGAGAGGAAAGGGAATAAGGTGTTCTCCTGTAGCGTTTTCATCTCATGTGCAGAAGCACCAGTTAGAGTTGGAAGGTCATGATTTAATTCTGAGTGGAAGAAACTCCCTGATAACTGTTAAATAACTCAATGTTGCTTCCATTGGCAGAGCCATGGGAATAGAAGGGTTTAGTCCCGAGGTTCAGAACTGCTTCTGAGGTGTTCAAAACACACAATCCTTGTAGTTACTTCTGTTTTACAAGAAATCTGTTTTTTGGGCTTTAAATTATTTAGAAATGCGTAAGCAGCCAGTAACCAAGCTCATCACTCTGTTGAAAAAAAGTCCTCATAAATGTGTTTTATGGTCTGAAGAGGATGTAGATGGGCATTATACACGTGGGAAAACAAGTCCATGTGATGAAGGATATGGGGTGGTTTGGAATACAGAGGAAACTGGGTGTGAAACACCGAGTTTTGAATTCCAGGCTTGGTTTTGGGGATCACCTGCTGCAACAATCGAGTGCTCCTTGTTGTACAAACTCCATAATTGCTTCAAGTGGTTTAATACCACATATCTGTTGTCTGCAATAACTAAACCCTCCCCAATGTTTCTGCTAACAGGGTGGAGGGATCTGCCCAGGGTTGGATTTCTGCCTGCCAGACAAAGACCTGACAGCATTTGTGGTGAAATAATCTGCTCTGTTTGCAGACTGGAGGAGAAATCCTTTCTGTACAGCTGGTGAGTTTTTGTTTTTACAGTCAAAACAGATGCACTGGGGAGGGAAGCCACTGGGGATGGTTTGCTTTAACCCTGCTGGAATCATTAGCTGTTGGATTCTAAACTGTTTGCTGTTTAAACACGCTGATTCCAGGCCAGCTTTCCAAGGAAAAACTTCCATGCTGTTAGAGCTTTGATTAAGTGAAAGCTCACCCAAAACAACGGTACAAAAAACCCAAAACACCCCTCCCCTCCCTCTTCTGCTCTGTGGCCACTAAAACCTGAAGAAAATTTATAAAGAACACGTGCACATTTCTTTCCTAAGCCCTAAATTTGTGCCAGTTAAATGTACAGAGAATGTGGGGCTTTGTGGCTCTCAGGCACATTCATTCTTGTGGAAGCACTGGCTGTAAATCCAATTTTATAGATTAAAGACTTGCAGCATAATGTAGGCACCTGTCGGTTTATGGGAGCCTAAAAATACCTCCCTGGCTATAACATGGGTTTTTTTTTTTCAGCAGCTTGGAGCATGTGTATGTTTTTTGATACCTTTTAGCTATTTCTTTTTTTTCAGTCCTTGTCTGTCACCTCAGCCTGTTGTGGCAGCTCTAATAGGGAATAATAAAGGACATGCTGTTCACTGGCTGGTTCAGATGCAGTGAGGCTTTGCCATTAGCAGTTCATAATATAATAAATACAATAATATAATATAATGTAATTAATATAATACAATATAATATAATATCTCCCCATGGTGCAGAAAGAAGCCAACAGGCAGCACTGAGGAGGTGACAAGGTGGGCTCTGTCACCTTTGGTGAGCTGGGTGTGATTACAGGGAAGGGAGAGATTGTCCTGACTGGGAAAGACTCAAAGGTTCTGTTTTGTCAGGGACTAAATGAGGAGGAGTCTTTGTGGTGTCAGGGTAAAAGGAGCTCTCCCAGGCTGAGGATTTGCTTGTACCAGTGTGGGAGGCTGTTCCTCTGGAATCTGGAACTCAAAGTTGGTCAAGAACCTCTGTGTGGGGCAGTCCTGGCTTCAGGACGTGTCTGTGTGAGCACATCGGGGCCACTCTTGACTCTTTGCTTGAGGATTTGTGTCTTATTGATGGTAAATGTTGTGGGACAAGATATTGTGGAGCTCAAGGGGAGCCAATCATCAAATTACAGAATCACAGAATCACAGAGTCACAGAATCATGGAATGGTTTGGGTGGGAAGGGACCTTAAAGCTCATCCAGT